CAGCACGTCAACGACTTAAATCAAGAAATAGTTTTCTAAGATCTACAGAGACACTCGCTGGAACATCTCAGCAAGCAAGAGTCCAAAAGTGGCAGGATCAAACCAAATGATAGACTCCCCCCTGGGCACAAAGAAGACTGGGCGACTTGGAAGGCACTGAACAGACTGCGCTCTGGCACCACGAGATGCAGAGCCAACCTTCAGAAATGGGGCTACAAAGTGGAATCCACGACATGCGAGTGCGGAGAAGAGCAAACCACTGACCACCTGCTGCAATGCAACCTGAGCACTGCTACATGCACAATGGAGGACCTTCTTGTGGCAACACCAGAGGCACTCCAAGTGGCCAGATACTGGTCAAAGGACATTTAATCAACTACCAAGTTTGCAAACTTTGTGTTTGTTTTGTTCTGTTCTGTTAGAAATGTAATACAATGGTCTGGTTGCCCCTGACACGATAAATAAATAAATAAATAAATAAATAAATAAATAAACAAACATACCAAGCATTTCAATATCGCTGGCAGACTTAACAACTCTTTAAGACCTCACTTCAGCTCACAAGTCAGTAAACCTAAGGGTATTGTAGAAGCAATGGCACTATGTTAGGTACTCCTTTCCATATGCTTACAGGGTTTTATGGACTTTTGGAAGTAGCAGGAAATACCAGCCAATGAAATTCAAAATGTATTAGCTGGTGTGCAGTACAAGAAGAGCCTGGCTGCAGGCTTTACTTTGTTCAGGTGATCAAGTATATGAGCATTCCTACACTAGCCTTGGAATTTTATATCCCTGTTTTTAGCTGATACTGTGGTATTTGATGTCAAACAGTTGTTTGAATTTGAATCTATGGTTAGCACAGGTTATGTTGTCTTAAAACAGTCGTGCACAAAGCATATTTATTGTTGGACTGCAATTTCCATTCACCCTTGGCCAGCATTCTTGGCAATGCTAAGAGTTGTAGTCTCACCGTGCATCTGCCATCAATGTATGTGTTTTGATTCTTGGCTAATAGTAGTCATAAAACATCAATAGGACACATATTTTATTCTGTTTTCTTCTTTTGCATTTCAGAACAGAAAAGGGAATTGATCTTGGAAAGTAACCCAAAGTGGGAAGCACTCACAAATGTACTAAAGGAGATTGAAATGGAGAATGAAAACAGTGAAGCTCTGGGTGGGCCAGGTAAAGAGTAATGATTCTAAGAGGCAGAACACAGGTAGGGATGTGAGACATGAGGAGGCAAGCAGATTTCAATAGTAAATATAATTTTTAAAAATTATATTCTGCCCTATCTCCCCAGGGGGACTCAAGCGGATTCTAACATGCAAAAAGGCAAACATTCAATGCCTCAGTAAAATAACAAATACCAACATAATAATCCAAAATAATCCCATATATGAATATGAAAACAACTTAAAACCTAACATCTATACATTAAATAAAACATAATCAATCAAAAATTATAAAATGACAAATAACCTTAACATAAAACATCCACATTGGTTACAGAAGCCAAGACAGAACATGTTGAAAATAGCAACCTTCTTCAAGCCTCCAATAGTTGTTTGTTATGTATATAATTCAGATTGCTTACTGTATTGTATATGTGTGTATTGGTGTGCAGTTTTCCTTAACTCATTATTGTGGGAGAGGCTGCTATGTGATCAGATCTGGGATTATTCAAGACTCAGACTCCATTTTAGAACAGTACAGTTCAGAAGCCGTTAGACTTTTAATGTAGAAATGGTACAGATTAGACTCTCTTAAATTGGACTTTCAGACTAGACAGAGACTCTATTAGGCTCTCAGAATAGAGAGATGCTTTAGACAATGGACAGTTGATTATAAGAAAGATCCCCTTTGTTATCTGCACAGAAAATCCTATCTGTACCTGGATTGATATGCAGTGTACCTGTATGCTGAATAAATTAAGTAAACCAACTATGTTAGTTAATGAAGACTACTTTATTTTTGGTCTCGTGAGAGCATGATTTAAACCAAGATGTTTTAAGGGAGAATAGATGTGTTTTTCGGCAATTGTATGTTTTTTGTGCATTGGCATATCTTTGTCCCTAACAGTTCAAAGAGATATTTAGGTTCTCAGTCTAACAGCTAGAAACTAATTGCCTTCCATGAATAATAATGGATATTTTTAAACTCTTCTCAGGAAGATCATACTTTGTAAAAGGTTATGATTTCTAATCAGGTCATGCCTTTCCACAAGATTCCTGGTTTTCCTAAATGGTTATGAATATCCATTTTCCAAAAGTCTATGAAGATTTCAATTTTCCAAAAGAACGTGCCACTGTCAAACAATGGGTACTGCCCAAAATTCTTCCTCCTTTTCTGTTGTGATATTTCATATGATCAGGTTCTCTGAGATGTAGGCTGTAAAGCATGCCAGTGGAATACAGTTTTTAGTCAGGTAGTAAAAAAAAGGAGTTCTTCTTTCCATATACCTCTGCCACTTTGGAAGTTTCTTCTCTCCCCAAGTCTTCTCTCCCCAACTCTCCCCAGTTGTTGCTGTTGTTGTGTACCTTTATGTTGTTTCTGACTTATGGCAAAGTTAAGAGAATCTATCATGGGGGTTTCTTGGCAAGATTTGTTCAAAGGGGGTTTATTTTTGCCTTCCTCTGAGATTGAGAAAGTGTATTAATAATAATAATAGTAAAAATAATGATTATAATAACACTTATAATTGTATTTATTTATACCCCGCTTTATCTCTCCCAAATGAGACTCAAAGCAGCTTAACAGAAAAGCATTCGCATCCAATTTGCTCAAGGTCACACAGTAGATTTACAAAGTCCTAGTTTAATGTTCAAACCATTACTCCACACTAACCTAGGAGATAGGGTGGCCGAGTGATCTAAAGATTGCTAATATAGCTCTTTAGAAACATTTTCTAAAAATGAATGTAGTCCTTGAGCTGAAAGCCATCTTCACCCTTGTGTTGACACAATGGGTATACTATACACTATCCCTTTTTGATGCATGCCCCTCCTTTCTTTTTCTCTCCTTTTCTCTCTGCTTAGGGATGGGACTAGAGGACCAACTCTTTGTACCATCTTCTAACCATACCCACTGGTTCATGTTTTCCAGGGCGAGTGCTTATCTGCGCCAGCGATGATCGCACCTGTGCTCAGCTTAAAGAGTACATCACAGCTGGAGCTGAAGCTTTTCTAATGAGGCTCTACAGCAAAACTTTTGGAAAGGGCAAAGAGGGAGCTGATGCCTGCCTCGAGGACAGACAAGCAACCAAGTGCCAGGGAGATGATTCCAGAAAACTAAGGTCCAAGGAAGCCAAAGCAGAGTCTTCTAAGTCAAGGAAGAGGAAAAGGATGCCAGCACTCACCCTGACACAAATGTTGAGCAAAGAAGAGCAGGAAATCATCATAGAGGAGCAAGAAGACTCAAAGGACTTAAGCAGTAGCCAAGGAAACAGCAACAATGAAGCCAAACCTGATTATGTCCAACTGAACCTTTCCTCCTCAGATGGCTTTTATGGGATCTTAAAGGAACCACTAACTCTTATTCATCCACTGAATGGTGGTGGAGACCCTTATGCCCTCACACGTATTTTACACGAAGTGGAGCCTAGATATGTTGTGCTATATGATGCAGAGCTGACCTTTGTTCGCCAGCTGGAAATTTACAAGGCAAGCAGACCTGGGATACCTTTGAGGTATGCTAAGTATGGGAGGGGGTGACTACTGGAGGAGCTGTTTTAATTATGTCTGTGTGTTAAGATATATTTAGGATTGAACGGTTAAAATAAAAATTGATTAGTGCCCTGGAATTATGTCCTATTTGTAAAAGAAACTGGAATTATGTCCTATTTATACGAAAAAATTGTATCCACCATTCTGATCCTTAGCCAGGGTGAGTACCAGTAACTAAATGCAATAGAATCAAGGAATTGGAAAAGACCAAAAGGACAGTATAAAGATCTGGGAACTTTTCCAGGATTGGATCTATAAATTTAGGACAAATATTCTTATAATACTTGCAGTATAGCAGGACATGATCAATTGTTTCAACTATGCCTGACTGGCAGAGACTGCGTAAGTATCTCCCATCCAGTAAAGCTGATGGCACAAGGTTGAAATGGATCAAAGAAAAAGCTGTTGCAGTATATTTAGACATTTCCAGAGCATAAAGATAATTATTCTTGTTTTGCCATTACCTTCCTCTGAGATTTAGACCCGTCGCAAACTAGCCTCCTGCGGGAGCAAACCTTGCCAGCACGTCCCTGACGTCATGAGACTCCGCCTCTCGCCCCGCCCCTTTCTCAGCCTCTTTCTCCGTGCCAGAGTGGTTTTTCCTTTGCTAGGGCAGCATTGCCAGCATACTCTCGTTGTTGGCAGAATTCAACAACGAGAGTACGCTGGCAATGCTGCCCTAGCAAAGGAAAAACCACTCTGGCACAGAGAAAGGGGCGGAGAAAGGGGCGGGGAGAGAGGCGCAGTCTCATGACGTCAGGGACGTGCTGGCAAGGTTTGCTCCCGCAGGAGGCTAGTTTGCGGCGGGTCTAAGAGAGTGTGACTTTTCTCCAAAATTACTTAATAGATTTTCATAGCTAAATATGAATTTGAACTCTAGTCTAGTGAATATTACTTAATTCAAAAGTACATTTCTGTGGGCTCAATAACATGAAAAACTTTTTACATCGTTTTTGAACAAATACAATTAAGACTTCATGTTTGTTGGTACTAATTCTTTTTCCAAAATCAGGACAAGTTTTTAATCAGATAGATTTTAACAGATCTTTTTAAATATATACAGATTACTTAGTTTGAGGACACAAAAATGGCTAAGGCTCCTTCCACACAGCTGAATAAAATCCCACATTTTCTGCTTTGAACTGGAATATATGGCAGTGTGGACTCAGATAACCCAGTTCAAAGCAGATATTGGGGATTTTCTGCCTTGATATTCTGGGTTATATGGCTGTGTGGAAGGGCTCTTAGAAACACGTATTTGTAGGTTTACCCTACCTTCGGGAGTTTGGATAACATCTTCACATCTTGCTTTGCAGGGTTTATTTTCTTATCTATGCAGGTTCGACAGAAGAACAGCGCTATCTTACCACTCTAAGGAAAGAAAAAGAAGCCTTTGAAAAACTTATTCGGTAAAGTGTAACTTGCATAGTACATTGACTTTCATTGCCTTTCATTGTTGGATCATTATGTGGCATCACAAGGCTGGATTTGAAGGGATACTGGGCTAAGTGCCTTTTAATTGAAGCCTTCCTATACTAGGTGGCATTAGGGGACCTATCTAGGGATAACAGCAGCTTACATTACCTTTGGTTACTGTCTATAATGGCCAATTACATTTCTCCCTAAGCCCCTGATGTGCTATTGTAGAAAATTGCCTAACATCAGCCTGAGGGCTGAGAAAAGCGGTATAGAAATAAAGTAAATAAATAAATAAGTAAATAAATAACATCAGTTACCCATTACTGTGGATAACATTGGACTAGAAAAAAAAAATTACAGGAACCTAGGTGCTGATGCTAAGCTTCTGATAGCACATTATTTTTGGCTCTTGTAAAAAATCTTTCTTTTTACAGTTGGCAAAATTGTAATTGCAACTAATGGCTAGCACTCCCATTTCATCAGAACCATTTCCAGCCATTTGAAAGACAGGCAGCACATTGGGTATCTTTTTGTTGCTATAGCGCTTTAGTTTGTTTCTGTTCTACATTCCCTTCCTACAGGTTTCCAAGGTAGCAAATTTGTGTAAGAATTTAAATAACATGCAGAATGGTCATATAATTTTATAATGAAAATCCAAACATTTGCAAAGAGGAAAAGGTTTGCTTGTATTGAGTATAAGGAACAGAAACCACTCTGAATGTGGAAATAGCACGAGAGTGGTCAAGTTGCCCCTTATCTCCCATGAATTTATATAATAATAATAATTTATTAATTTATTTATTTATATTCCACCCTCTCTCCCCAAGGGGACTCAGGGAGGATTCCAACATACAAAAAGGCAAACATTCAATGCCTCAGTAAAACAAACAATATTAACACAATAATCCCAAAGAAGCCCACATATGCAAACATTAAAACCTAACATCAATAAATTAAACAAGAACATAATCAAACAAAATATATATATTGACATAAAATCTAACATAAAAAACCACAATAGATTTATGGGTGCCAGCTCTGAAACCCTTTGAATGTGCTGTCTGGAGTTTCATCTTTGAAAGAAAGTGGGGAATAAGCAAACAATAACTTTGAAGCCTATTGTTCATGCAGTTGTCCTTATCTGATTGGTGTATGCATCTATGAGTGCCTATTTCAAGCATTGGTTTATCTCAGCCCTTCCCAACTGTTTCTTCTGCATGGGATGTTGCCCAAACTGCATTTCCCATCAGCTCTCTGCATGCTGCTTGGGAATAGAAAAAACTGTAGTTCAATACATCTGGATTATACTACTGGTAGCTTCAGGAGGGTTTTGTAGCCTTTTTTAGCCACTCCAGTGAAACAGTCCTAGATTTTCAACATGAAAATCAACAATTAAGATTTTCAAAGTGTTTCTGTTCCTAACATGTTTTCCCGTTTTCTCATATTCACCAGAGAGAAGGCCAACATGGTTATCCCTGAAGAAAGAGAAGGGAGAGATGAAACATGTTTGGATTTGGGAAGAGATGCTATACCTGCTACTCTTACTAAGGACACTCGGAAAGCAGGTTAGTAATTGCAATGTCTGAAATCTGTTGTTTCTTCTGATTAGTAGTAAACCTCAGGGCCTCAGGCCACAGACTTTCCATCATTTACTTTCTGGTTTTGTGGATGAGACTGAATCTTAGGAGGGCCAGATTTGCCCAGTGCGCTGAGATTCCTCACCTCTGCTGTTAGTTATTTGTTATAAACTCCTCGCTAGTTTGCTAGTTCACTTTGTTCCATCTATTTATGTTTACTAATGCTATCACTACTTTGGTCAGGTGGCCAACGACAGGAAGATGTACAGCAAAGCATTGTTGTGGACATGCGTGAATTCCGTAGTGAACTTCCATCTTTGATTCACCGCCGTGGCATTGACATTGAACCTGTAACCTTGGAAGTAGGTGACTACATTCTCACACCTGACATTTGTGTGGAGCGAAAAAGTATCAGCGATCTAATTGGTTCCCTGAATAATGGAAGGCTTTATTCTCAGTGCATTTCCATGTCTCGTTATTATAAGTGTCCTGTCCTTCTCATAGAATTTGACCCCAACAAATCCTTTTGTCTCACTCCCCGAGCTTCTCTGTATCAGGAGATATCTAGCAATGATATTGCTTCAAAACTTACTCTTCTAACACTTCATTTCCCTCGGCTTCGTCTCCTTTGGTGTCCCTCTCCTCATGCCACTGCTGAATTGTTTGAAGAATTGAAACAAAACCGACCACAGCCTGAATCAGCAACAGCCATGGCAATCAGCGCAGATTCAGAAACCCTTCCTGAATTGGACAAATATAATTCAGGTCCCCAAGACTTCCTCTTAAAACTTCCAGGTGTGAGCACTAAAAACTGCCTGACCATAATGAATCATGTTAAGAATGTTGCAGAACTCATAACCTTTTCTCTAGAGAAGCTGACTGAACTCCTGGGCAACACTGCCAGTGCCAAGCAGCTTTATGAATTCATCCACTTACCCTTTACAGAAGTAGTTCCTCAAGGGAAAATAAAGAGATGATGAATTATTTTAAGCCCTTAAGGATTTATAATATGGGCATGTTTTAATTAAATGCTATCGTATCTTAGGACTGGTGTATCTTCCAGAAAAAAACAACTATGTGCAATGATTCTAAAACTACCATTTTGGGATTTAGATTATGGTGTTTACATATTTTAATGTTTTCATATATTAGCTGCTTACTGCCTCACAAAGGGAAGAATAGCTTTTTCCTTGGTTTGCTAGCTTATAGCACCAAGCAGCTTGTTCTTAATGTGATGGAGTGGGTTGACAGTATGAACTTTCTCTTTCACCATATTCTTTTTTAGGATGTGAAAACTGGCTCTGATTTATGAACTGTCTGGAAGTATTTGGTGGAGTGTAAATGGTTTATTATGTGATTATTTTGTATGTCAGGCACATTTTATGAATATATTCATTGCTGGTACTTTCTCACACACACAAGCCTTTTGCCAATATTTTAATTAGCACAAGGAAAGAGGTTTATTTTTTAAAAAAATCTCAATTTGTCTTGGAATTTATATAACACAAGTGCTGCAATAAACCTTAAATTAACTACTGCGTATAACAGACTAAGCTTTCCTGAATGGAGTGGGAGGAATGTCATAGGTAAGCCTGCTCTTTAATGGGATTTTTCTACTCAGGATTCATTTTACTTTTGCAAGGTTACAGTATATGAACACTGGCAAATATTGTGGACTTGAAATTTTCCAAAATAAAAGAAAAACACAAGACCTTATCTCATAGTACCTGCAACAACAACAAAAATACTCCAATGATTCCTCCTAGCCTGTTTTCCTTTCTTTTTCCCCAACTGTTTTTCTTGTCCAATATTATGTCAGTACTGAGTAAATTGGGCTTTGTGTGGAGGCAGTGGGATGCCCAGCAGGTTTGTTCTTATTATTTTTTGTACTCCTGCTGCTATACATCTTGGGATACCACAACAGTTTCTTATTAGGTTATTACTGATCCTTCCTTTTATACTGGTCCTATTTTGATTCTATTTTTAAAGCTTGTCAACAGTAACCAAATCAGTTTGGTATTAAAAGGAATGATTGTTTAATGGATATTGCATATGCTGAGGTAGTACATAGTTGAACACCAGTTATTTACTTTTTCTTTTGGTTAAAAATATGAAATTTCCATATCTTGTATGTTGAAAGACCTTCAGATATTTTGCAAACTGTTTCTAATCACTTCTGGCAGATATAGCGGTGCCACCAAATTTAACACTGGCATGGATGTGGTTTCAGTGAATCAAATTCATGGATATCTAGACATTGATGCATAAAAAGGAACCTAACAGATTGGATAATGCATATATTCTATCAGATGCAAAATAAGGATTGTTTTTAATTTTTTTATTGAACTGAGGGTACAGTTGTAATGTATTTTAAAAACACAAAGTTTTAAAAGCTTGGTATTATACTAAATTGCCCTTTGACGAGTAGCCGGCCACTTGGAGTTCCTCTAGTGTTGCTATATGAAGGCCCTCCATTGTGCATGTGGTAGGGCTCAAACTGCATTGTAATAGGTGGTCTGCTCTTCTCCACACTCATATGTCGTGGACTCCACTTTGTGGCCCCATTTCGTAAGGTTGGCTCTGCATCTCATGCCAGAGTTCAGTCTGTTCAGCGCCTTCCAAGTCGCCCAGTCATCTTTCTCTCCTTCAGTATCAGCCATGGCTTGAGGTCCCGGGTTTTAGCCTGCCACTTTCAGAGTCTCGTTTGCTGAGGTGTTCCTGCAAGTATCTCTGTAGATCTTAGAAAACTATTTCTTGATTTAAGGCATTGGCTTGCTGGCTGATATCCGAACGGGACAGGCCAGAAATGTCACTGTCTTGGTCCTTACATTATTGGCTGCTACTCCCCGGCAGATGTCAGGTGGTGCAATACAGGCAAAACAGTACAATTTCTCCAGTGGCGTAGGGCGTAGACATCCTGTGATAATGCGGCATGTCTCATTAATAGCCACATCCACTGTTTTAGCGTGGTGAGATGTGTTCGACACTGGGCATGGGTACTCGGCAGCAGAGTAACAAAGCGCAAGGGCAGATGTCTTCACTGTATCTGGTTGTGATTCCAAGGATATGCCAATGAGCTTTTGTATGATATTATTTCTAGCACCTACTTTTTGCTTGATATTCAAGCAGTGCTTCTTGTAGGTCAGAGCACAGTCCAGGGTAACTCCCAGGTATTTGGGTGTGCTGCAATGCTCCAGTGGGATTCCTTCTGGAGCATTGTAGCACCTGTTAGAATTAAATGTTGAGAATTTTGGCTTGGTGAGAAAGTTTCAATGGAGAGCCCTTTTCCCAATGATGATAAGAGAAGACAATTTCCTCTTGCTTCCTGTTGTCTCAGCCCTGTTCTTAACTATGGGTCTTATGTAATAATAATAATAATAATAATAATAATAATAATAATCTTTATTTATACCCCTCTACCATCTCCCCGGAGCCCCCGGTGGCGCAGTGGGTTAAAGCACTGAGCTGCTGAGCTTGTTGATCGAAAGGTCGCAGGTTCGATTCTGGGGAGCGGTGTGAGCTTCCGCTGTCAGCCCTAGCTTCTGCCAACCTAACAGTTCGAAAACATGCAAATGTGAGTAGATCAATAGGTACCGCTCATGCCGGCCACATGACCTTGGAGGTGTCTACGGACAACGCTGGCTCTTCGGCTTAGAAATGGAGATGAGCACCACACCCTAGAGTCAGACATGACTGGACTTAATGTCAGGGGACTACCTTACCTACCTACCATCTCCCCAATGGGGACTCGGAGCGGCTTACATGGGGCCAAGCCCGAACAACAAACTACAATATAAAAATACAAATTGCAATAAAATAAACATCGAAACATATAAAACAATATACACAGAACATAGAAAACCAAACATAATGACAGAGAGCAGGTCGCATGTACATAAAATGCATAAAATTATTTTAAAACTCCGGGTGAGATAAGGGGGCAGAACTAATTGTAAAAGAGAACCCATAGAGAGACAGAAAATAAGCAAACCTTCGTACAGGGGGGGGGGGGGGACTCCTGGGACAAGAACGTTGAGGGAGCAATAGCATAAAATTATGTGGCTACTGTCTGAAAGCGCAATGGCAGAGCCAGGTCTTGAGACTCTTTTTAAAGGTTTCTAACATAGGGGCTTTCCTAATCTCTCCGGGCAATGAGTTCCAGAGTCGGGGAGCCACAGAGGAGAAGGCTCTCTCCCTTGTGCCCACAAGGTGAGTCTGAGAGACTGGCAAGGGAGAAAGGAGGGCCTCGCCTTAAGATCGAAGAGTTCGGGCTGGTTCATGGAGAGATATGGTCACGAATGTAAGCCGGATATCTGTAACTTCAGGACTGCCTATACCAGGCATGGGCAAACTTTGGCCTCCAGGTGTTTTGGCTGTTAGGAATTGTGGGACTCGAAGTCCAAAATACCTGGAGGGCCTAAGTTTGCCCTTGCCTGGCTTATACACTGTACATTGCATTAATTCTTTCAGATGGCCATCCAGTCTCTGTTTAAAAGACTTCAAAGGAGCTTCTGCCAGACTTTGAGGCAGAGAGTTCCACTGCTGAACAGCTCTCCTTACAGTCAGGAAGTTCTTTCTAATGTTCAGGCAAAATCTCCTCTCCTGTCATTTGAGCCCATGCCTTCATTGAGTCCTAGTTTCCAGGGCAGCAGAAAACAAGCCTGCTCTCTCTTTCTTAGGACAGCCTTTCAGATATTGAAACATGGCTCTCATGTCTCCTTCTCTCAACCTTCTCTTCTGCAGGATAAACAGACCCAGCTCTTTAAGATGCTCCTCGTAGGGATTATTCGGGGTTTCCAGACTTCTGTCATTTTAGTTGTCCTCTTCTGGACACACTCAGTCCAGCAAAGAGTATGGCGGATGATCATGGCTTCAGCGCTGGTGGCCTTTGCTTCTTCCAGATGCTGACGTTTATCCGCCTGTTTTCTTATTTCCAAAAGATTTGTAGGGTTTTTCAAAGGCAATGCTGACGAGATCATACCAGAAGCTGAGAGTGATGTTTGTAGATGGTCTACGTTTCAGACAATGGATTTGAGAGGACAATCTATATATATAAATCTGTTAGGTTGGTTCAACGGGACAGCAAAACTCAACCCCCCCCCCAACGAAACTTAACCAAAATTCCCATGCCCACAACACAACCCACAAGGTACAAACATATCTACTCAAAATGAAAAACAACACAACAACACACTCACAAAACGGCAAAACAACAAAACTCACAAAACCCCCAACGAAACTTAACCAAAATTCCCATGCCCATAACACAACCCACAAGGTACAAACATATCTACTCAAAATGAAAAACAACACAACAACACACTCACAAAACGGCAAAACAACAAAACTAAAAAAAAAACCCAACGAAACTTAACCAAAATTCCCATGCCCATAACACAACCCACAAGGTACAAACATATCTACTCAAAATGAAAAACAACACAACAACACACTCACAAAATGGCAAAACAACTGAGCATGCGCATTGGCGCCCTGCCGCAAGTTCCCTGGCCCGCGCACACAGCCTTCCGGCCAACGTTCCCTCTGCGGAATCCATGCCCGCTCCAAGCCCTGCCGCGCCACTTCCCGCACACAAACACACCCTGCCGCATGCACACACACAACCCCACACTCCATCACTCCCCCTGCTGCCGCACACACACACGCAACCCCACTCCCCTCGCCACCGCACACACACACACAACCCCACGCTCCATCACTCCCCCCGCCGCCGCACACACACGCAACCCCACGTCCATCACTCCCCCCGCTGCGCACGCACACACACAACCCCCGCTCCATCACTCCCCCGCGCCGCACACACACACGCAACCCCAACTCCATCACTCCCCCCGCCCGCACACACACACGCAACCCCACGCTCCATCACTCCCCCGCCGCCGCACACCCACACGCAACCCCACCTCCATCACTCCCCCGTCGCCGCACACACACACGCAACCCCCCTCCCCCGCTGCCGCACACACACACGCAACCCCACGCTCCATCACTCCCCCCGCCGCCGCACACACACACACAACCCCACGCTCCATCACTCGCCTGCCCCAATCTTACCTCCTTTTACTTCACGCCACCTCCAAACCCCCCCCCGCCCCTTCCCGCCCTGTCAAAATCCAGGAAAGACAGGAAGGAAGGAAAGAAGGAAGAAAGAGAAAGGGAGGTAAAGAAAAAGGGGGAAGGAAAGTTAGAGAAAGAAGGAAGAAGAAAAGGAAAGAAAAGGAAAGATGGAAGGAAAGAAAAGAGAGACAGCAGAAGAGAAAGAAAAAGGGGGAAGGAAAGAGGTAGAGAAGGAAGAAATGAGAGACAGAGGGAGGGAAAGAAAAGGGGAAGGAAGGAAGGAAGGAAGGAGAGAAGGAAAGAAAGAAGGGAATGAAGGAAGGAAAGAGGGAGTGAAGGAAGGGCGAAGATGTGGAGAAAGTGGGAGGGAAGGAAAGAAGGAAAGAGAGAAGGAAGAAAAGAGACAGAAGGAAAAGAAAAAGGGGGAAGGAAGGAAGGAGAGAAGGAAAGAAAAAAGGGAATGAAGGAAGGAAAGAGGGAGTGAAGGAAGGGTGAAGATGTAGAGAAAGAGGGAGGGAAGGAAAGAAGGAAAGAGAGAAGGAAGAAAAGAGACCAGAAGAGAAAGAAAAAGGGGGAAGGAAGGAAAGAGATAGAGAAGGAAGAGGAGAAGGAAAGATGGGAGGGAAGGAAGGAAGGAGGGAAAGAAGGAGAGAAAGAGGGAAGGTTGGCCACAGCAACACGTGGCGGGTAAAGGTTGTTATTTCTATTATTATTATTATGCTATTATTCCTATTAGACCCTGGGGGAATGGGAGAGGTGTCAGGTCCCAGAGGCAATGCATTGCATTATTGTTATTGTTATGATGGTGGTGAAATAAAAGGAAATAAAAAGTGAAAGAAGGAAGCAAACAGGGAGGGAAGAAAGGCAAAGGAAGAAAGGGGGAGGGAATGAAGGAAAGAGAGAAGGATGAAACCAAGTAGTGAAAGAAGGAAAGAAAGAAAGAGGTAGAGAAGGAAGAAAGGAGAGAAAGGGGGAGGAAAGGGGGAAGGAATAGGTAGGTACCTCTCTTTCATAATAGTCCAGATATCTACCTCAACTTTGATAAGTTTTACTATAGGCCACAGCAACGCGTGGCAGGGCACAGCTAGTAGCTTTATAAACGAGTATCTTGGTGTCCTTACTGACGTCCCCATCCTCAAACACTCTCTATTTCAGCATGCCACCCATTTGCACAAATCTGCAGTGTTTACAATAGACTGCAGAAAATGGAATGGAAAACTAGCCTGTTTAGCAAGCCTTGCAAATGCTGAATTGTTATCATAAGTACATGCTTGGCTATTATGCCTATTTTCTACTCCTATGTATGTACCCAGGGTCCAGTTTTACAACTGTGAAGGAAAAGGTGTAAAGGCCTGTTCTAGGCCTCAATCCATGAATTCGCCAGTCAGCTTTGCACGTTGGGTGTATATAAGCTGCTTTTCTACATTGAACAAGTTCCGTGGCGAATGGGACCTTTCCTGGTAAAAGCATACCTGGGTTCCTTCCCTGTGTGAAGTCACTGGTGCATTGACAGCGCCTGGGCCTAGCAGCGCCCTCAGCAATGCTTCTGACTGGAAAAAGACCCGTATGGAGTAGGGGGCTCAATAACGTCAAGGGGGAGGCGAGGGCGGCGAGGAGGCAAGCTCCCATTGGCCAGGGCCTTCGCCGGACGAGCCAATCGCGAGCGAGGAGGCGGGGACGGGGCTCGCGCTCCCTCGACGGACCAGAATCTCGCCGCCAAAGATCGCGAGAGGACATGTCCGCGGCAGGCGCATCGAAAGAAGGTGAGCGAGAGCTGGGCTTCGAGTGGCTGGTGGGGCGCCGACCGGGCCACGTCCCTGCCCTGCCATCACGAGTAGCAGCGGCGCCGTTTAGGGTTGAGGGAGCGCGGGAAATGGCTCCGCGGCGGTCTGCGGTGATGGGGTTTTTCTAACCTCAGGAGCCAGAGGGGGCGGGGCCCCGAGGAGGGGGCGGGGCTTCCTCCTCTGACCCCATTCCGGAAGTAGCAGGAGCAAAGGGCCTGAAACCTGCAGCTGGAGGTGATGGAGGGAAGAATGCCAGAGGCTTCTTCTTGGGAGGCTTTCAAACACAGGCTGGATAGCCCTCTGCCAGGGCTGCTTTGATGGTGCCTTTCCTGCATGGAAGGAGGTGGGACTGGATGGCTTTTGGGGTCTCTTCCAACTGTGTGATCCTGTGCTGCCTAATTATTATTATGTTTATTTATATCCTGCTTTTTCTCTCCATAGGGAGACTCAAAGCAGCTCACAACAAAAGCATTGCAATACAGCTTAAAATATACAAGTATATTATTATCATTTTGTTTATTTATAGCCCACTTTTTCTCTCCATACGGAGACTCAGAACGGCTCACAACTAAAAGCATTGCAATGGAACTTCAACTTTTTATAATTATTTATAATTATTTATAATCATTATTATGTTTATTTATATCCCACTTTGTCTCTCCATACGGAAACTCAGAGCAGCTCACAACTAAAAGCATTGCAATACAACTCAAAACATACAAATATACAAGTATTAAACCATTATTAAACATAACAACAACAAAAACACAGCAGCCCCTGAATAAAAAGCCTGCCTGAATAAAAAGGTTTAATCATCATCATCTTTATTTGTACCCTGCCACATCTCCCTGAAGGGGACTCGGGGTGGCTAACATGAGGCTGTTTTAACCTGCTGCCTGAAGAACAGCAGGGGGAGGGGCATTCTGGCTTCCCTGGGAAGAAGGGAGTTCCAGAGTTGAGGAGCATTTGCCACCGAGAAGGACAGAAGGCCCTTTCTCTCTCATTCCCACTTAGTTTGGGATTGAGGTGGGATCAAGAAAAGGAAGGGCCTCTTAGGACCTGAATGGCAGGTTCATACAAGAGAATGCGTTTGGCCAAATAGGCTGGACCTGAACCATCTTGTGCTTTAAAGGTCATAACCAGCACTTCAAATTGTGCCCAGAAACAGACTGGCAACCAGTGGAGCTATTGCAACCCCAGTGAGTAACCAGGCTGCAGGTCTTTGGACCAGCTGAAGTTTCCACACACTCTTTGGAGGCAGCCCTACATAGAGCACATTGCAGTATCCAGACGGGCTGTAACTAAGGCTAGATCTGGCTTCTCAAGGAAAGATCTCAAGAAACCCAAATGAAACTCCAGAGAACTTCCTGACTGAACTAAGATTTGAAAAAGGACATGAAATGGAAAGGGAGAGGAATTCAAACAAATAGCCAGCACCAGAGAGGTCAAAAACAACAAAAAGTGTCCCCTTTTTTGGTTATGCTCCTAGCTAAAGGAAGAACAAGGACATTGTAGGGTGCTACATATAGCTGATGGCAAAATACATAAAGGGAACAGAGAAAAAGCAATTCTGTACTCAAATGGGGCATAATGAGGCAGTTGGTGCAGAAGAGAAATATAGTACTAAAAGAGGTAAAGACGTGGTGCAGGAATACTTGGCTAATCTAAATGAATTCAAATGTCTTCCAACTCTATGCATCTAAGTCAGACATGGGCAAACTTTGGCCCTCAGGTGTTTTGGACCAGTAGGCTGTTAAGAATTGTGGGAGTTGAAGTCCAAAACACCTGCAGAGTCACAGGTTCTGTGGGCCTGTTCTTGGGTAACAACAGAATAAGGAGTGGGTAAGGAGGGACTTGCATTTTTTTAAAAATTGAGTTGCCGTGACAGGGATGAGTACACTTCACCTGTACTTTTGGATAGGGCTGGGATCATATCATTCTTTAACCAGAGCTTTCCAAACTGTGTGTCGCAAGACATTTGATTGTCGGCCTCAGATGTGTAAGTATAAGACATCACAAGAAACCTCTTGAGTCTATGAAATAAGTCATCCTACATTTTAAAAAATGTAAGTGAAAGGTTTTCATGAGACAAGTTGCATTCCCAAACATTTTGTTATTGTAATTTTAAGTACGAATCCATACCCCCCTCTTCTAAGGGGTTGGATTAAGGTCTGGCTTGCTAGTAAAACTGAATAATTGTGTTGTGAAATGATGCATGTCTAAAACATGTGACACCGAGTGTGAGATGTTTGGAAAGCTCTGCTTTAAACACACATGCAAGAAAACTGTGAAAACCCTTGTGGGGTTTTGTGAGATTAGAATAGAAGGTTGAGAACTGTGTATATAGCCTTGAGTTTATTGAAGGAAAGGCCAAATATAAATGCAAGTAATGAATGGAATATTGTACAGGCAGTCCCCAGGTTACATACAAGATAGGATCTGTAGGTTTGTTCTTAAGTTGAATTTGTATGTATGTCAGAACGGGGCCTTTTTTCAGTGTAACTCCAAACATATATAGAAAGAGAGTGCGCTTTGGATAGCATACGGAAGGGTTAACACCCCCTGTTGTGTTTCTTTTGCTGTCTGTGTCCCTTTTCAGGAACTTTCACCTCACTTTCTGTCCCTGTGTTACTTAGATTTTGAAAAAAAAATGGCTGATTGTGGAAACAAGGATAAAGCTTCAGGGGAGACCCCTTTTCACCATGATAATAACTCTTTCAGGAGTGAATTTCCCTCTCGAGGCGCAGGTTTCTATCACTTCCTGATGTTTCATCCCCCCACCCACCCCTGTTAACTCGGAATCAGATGTAAGTCGGATGTCTGTAACTTGGAGGCTGCCTATAATAATATTTAGAATATATAGTGATAGTAGCTGACTGCTGTGCTTAGTGCTTATCCAGATTCAAATTCTCACTCAGTCATAGAATCATAGAAGTGGAAGAGACCCCAAGGGCCATCCAATCCAACCCTCTTCTTCCAGGAAGGAAGACACAATCAAAGCACACCTAACAGGTGGCCATCCAGCCTCTGCTGAAAAATCTCCAGAGGAGGAGACTCCACTACCTTCCGAGGCACCATATCCTACTGTGGAATAGCTCTTGCTGTCAGGAAGCTCTTCATAATGTTTAGATGGAAACTTCTTTCCTGCAATTTGAATCCATTGTTCTTTGCCCTAGTCTCCAGAGCAGCAGGAAACAAGCCTTGCTCCCTCCTCAATGTGTCATCTTTTCAAATATTTAAACATGGCTCTCATACCCCCATCTCTCAGCCTTCTTTTCTCCAAATTAAACATATACCCAGCCCCTTAAGTCATTCCTGATAGGGCTTGGCTTTTAAACCTTGGATCATTTTAGTTGCCCTTTCTCTGGACACATCCAGCATGTCAATAACCTCCTTGAATTGCGGTGTCCAGTACTGAACACAGAATTATTCCAGGTGAGGAGGTATGACCAAAGCAGAAGACAGTGGGATTATGACTTCCCTCGATCTATAGACTATACCCCTATTAATGCAGCCTAGAATTGCATTACTTTTTTTTTAGCTGCTGTATCACACTATTGACTCATGTTCAGCTTGTGATCTATTCAGACTACTAGAGCCCTTTGCACTGACTGTTTTTATGCCAGGTGTCATCCATCCCATATCTGTACATTCCATTTCAGTTGTCTAAGTATAGTATCATAATCTTTCCCTGCTGAAATTCATTTTGTTACTGTGTTTTTGTTATGTGTTTTGGATTCTGATCCTGTTCACTATTAGCTATCACTCCCAATTTGATGTCATTTGAAAATTGTATAAGCACCTCTTCTTTTCCATTGTTCAAGTCATTGATAAGCATGCCTTCCATTACTTTGCTCAAGTGATAAATTTGTCTTTGAAATACATATAGTTGAATATTTGTGATCCTGTCCCTCCTAATCTGGAGTTGACAGTACCAAGCATGGAGTTTGATAGTGTCTTGAAAGATGCCCTCTCCACTGCTGAGACCATGCCTACACCTCTGTTTCTCAACAGGGTCCATCTTTTCTACCTTGCATGGACCACTATCCCATCTCTTTAACTTCATGAAGAGAGGATATTTGATCAAATTTAGATCAAGGGATATTTGATCCTTTGACTAACCCTCCCTTCCCCTGCCCTTCGAGACAAAGTCATTATATACGGACACAAAGTGCTACTTTATTCAAACATGAAATTAGGTAAATTTCTTAGGAAATGTTATTCTTCTTAGACATATGAATTTGAGAGAGACATTCTCAAAAAGCAGCTGGAAAACTAACTTGGTGTATACATAGGAAACAGAAGTGAACTTCCTTCCTCTGTAGTTCGGCTTGCATATTTTCCTGGCTTTGTTTGGTTTTGGCACTTCCTGAATAAACAGAATAGCACCTACAAGTTGATTATAAGTAGCAATTTCCTGATAGGTAACCATAACAATGAATTCAGAAATACATGTAGACTTTAATTAAATGTTTCAGTAAATGACTACTGGCATGACAAAAATACAGACATCAGTAATACAAAGGATCTCGATTGTGAAGAACGTAATTGCATCTGTAATTGAGTTTAGAAGTTTGATATTAGTTTTAGGACAATAAAGAGAGTGTCACTTTTTAAAGTAAGCAATACAGTTGGATACCACATTTTAGGTCAACTCCATCCTTTTTATACTCTTCTCTATTAGTCCATTTTTTAATGTAATGTCATTTAAAAGAAAATATCCCATTACATTAAATTAGATAACTTTAAAATACAATCAGATTAAAATGAAAGTGTGATGGGAGCCAAGAAGTTCTCTACTGCCAATAGTTCAAACAGTGTTCCTTGTTATGGTAATTTCTGGTTTTTAATAGTGTTTTGGTCCCTCACCTATCAATTAAGTAGTGGATGCCTGGAAGGCCTATACTATTTCAGCAAGTGTTTACTATACAGCTGAAATAGGAGCCAGAGGCTTTTTACAAACAAAAAACATAAGATTATATGCAAAAGAACATAGGAACCATAGCTAGGAGGCATTGCTGTAAGAGATGTAGTATTAGCCTAAAGTAAAAGAAAAAAATATGTGCCTTCAAGGCCACATATTTCATAGGATTTTTTTTTAAGACAAAGAGTACTCAAAGGTGGTTTGCCATTACTTCCCTTAGAAAAGAGCCTACAGCATCTGGTATTCCTTGGTGGACTAACCCAGTCTGACCCTGCTAAGCTTCCAAGATCTGATGCCTTCAGGGTAGGTAGGAAATTCAGGAAATTTTGTATGTGTTTTCATCTGACAGCAATATTTGCTGTATATAATTAGTGAATGGTTTCTTTGGTATATGCAAGAATTTGTTAGTTCTAGGAAGA